ATTCTACACATTTCTTCTAAAGGATTTATATTCCAAAAAAATCCACAGCAGACAAAATATTTACTACACCAAAAAGTTTCGATAAGGGCGGTGGTGTCATTTCGAATTTCATATAAAACATCGAAAACTTCCCAACGCAGCCCTGTTTTTACCATCACTCCAAACGGCTGCAGTCCGCAGCGAATTTTGTGAAACACAAACGCTACCTTATCTTAACCCCCACCTTCTTCAACTTCTAAGTATCAAACAAAAACCCAATCCGAATTCTCTGCTCTCAAAAATCTAACCACCCACTTTCAAAACCCAAAACCCTAATCAATCTCTCGCTTGCGGTTTCTGGGTAATCGAAAGGCGAAAGCTTTTAGCCATGGAGCCAAATGTTGCTGCGTCAGGGACTGCGTCACAACTGTCGAACTCATCAGGTGCAAAGCAATTTCTTCATCTTTTGTGTTTTAATGATTTTATGCTTGCTTCTTTTTTTTGAAATTCTGGGATTTTGAGGTTGGTGATGATGAAAATATTGATGTAGGTCATAATGGTGGGCATGAAAATGGGGGTTTTGCCAGTGGTGGAGAGGAGTTCGAGGCGGCGAAGAGGCCGACTGTTATGGGACCGGCTGGGGAGAAGACAATTGGAGGGGGAGATAAAGGTGTCCCTTTTTTTGATTCATCGGAATTTTTGATGTCTAAGGTTGTTTTGCCGACGGAGAATGTGTCGGCTAATGTTGACGATGACGATGAAATTTTAGAGAAGGTTAGGGTTTTGAAAGAGGAATCATTTGGGGGTGGTGGTGAGTCTCTACAGGGGAGTGGAGGTGAAGCTTTAGTTGATAAGCTTGAGGGAGAAAGGGGTGACTTGAACTGGGAGGGGAAGGAAAATTTGGGTGAGTTTAAGGTGGCGAAGCTGGATATGAAAGTTACTGAATCTGAACTGAATGGTGGAAAGAGTGTTGAAGAGGAGAAAAGTGAGGTTTCTAATGACAAAAAATTTGCTGAAGCTGAAGCTGAACCAAAAGAAAGTAGAGAGGCAGGTTTTGTGGGAGACAGAAATGTTGACCATTTAGTTCAGGGCAACATTGAAACCACAATGGTGGAGACTAGTGAACGCAAAGTTGATGTTGATGCTGAAGAAAAGGGTAATTCTGAGACTGCGAATTTTATTGTTGATGGAATGACACCAGATGAGCAGGATGACAAGAAGTTTGGGAGTGCCGGTAACAAGGAGAAGCCATTTACTGGAATAGGTGCAAATGAGTCTAATGTTGAGGCGTTTGCTTCTCCAAACAAACTGTCTGACGTGAATGTAAATGCAGCAGATGCAACTCAAAATGTAAGCCTGGATACTGAATCCACACAAACAACTGCAGTTCATGAATCAGTGAATTTAGTCACTGACTCTCAGAGCAGAGGATTAGCCGACAGGTTGTTAGATGAGTCTGGTCCTTCCAAGTCTGCAGAATTGAGTAAAGTTTCTAAAACAGAAATTGATTCAGAGGCTGAAGACGAAGAAGGTGAGATTGATGGCTCCGTTACAGATGGGGAACCTGATGACATGATCCTTGAGAGCTCTAAAGCTGCCAAAAGGTTCTTGGAGGAGTTGAAACAGAGCTCTGGTGCTGGTTCTCACTCTTTTGCTGAGGGTTCTAATGGTCATTCCCTGAGAATTGATGGCCAGGTTGTTACTGACTCAGATGAAGAAGTAGACACTGATGAGGAAGGGGATGGAAAGAAGTTATTTGATCCTGCTGCTTTGGCAGCCCTTTTGAAGGCAGCAACAGGTGCTGACTCTGATGGTGGTGGCATTACCATAACGTCCCAAGATGGATCCAGGCTTTTCTCTGTTGAACGTCCTGCTGGTTTGGGATCCTCACTTGGTAATATGAAACCTGCCTCACGGTCAAACCGTCCCAACTTGTTCACTTCTACCACCCCCATGACTGTTAGAGACTCTGAGGTCAGTTTGAGTGAAGAAGAGAAAAAGAAGCTGGAAAAGTTGCAGCAGATAAGAGTGAAATTCTTGAGGCTTGTTCAGAGGCTTGGGCATTCTCTTGAAGATCAAATAGTGGCACAGGTTCTCTATCGATTGGCACTTGTTGCAGGGAAGCCAAACAGTCAGATGTTTAGCCTTGATTCTGCAAAGAATACAGCTCTGCAGCTTGAAGCAGAAGGAAAAGATGATTTAAACTTTTCCTTAAACATACTGGTTCTTGGTAAAACTGGGGTGGGAAAGAGCGCTACAATTAATTCATTGTTTGGTGAGGAGAAGGCCTCAACCCACGCATTTGAGCCTGCCACTACTGCTGTGAAGGAGGTAACTGGAATAGTAGATGGGGTTAAGATTACAGTCATTGATACCCCGGGTCTGAAATCTTCAGCTATGGAACAACGTGATAACCGCCAGGTCCTAGCTTCTATAAAGAATTTAACAAAGAGTTGCCCTCCTGATATTGTGCTCTATGTTGATCGCCTGGATACGCAAACCAGGGATCTTAATGACCGTCCATTGTTAAGATCTATCACCAGTTCCCTTGGTTCTTCTATATGGCGAAATGCAATAGTCACACTGACCCATGCTGCATCTGCACCTCCAGATGGACCATCTGGCTCGCCCTTGAGTTATGAGATTTTTGTTGGCCAGCGTTCACATGTTGTTCAGCAGTCTATTGGCCATGCTGTAGGCGATCTGCGTCTGATGAATCCAAGTTTGATGAATCCAGTTTCTCTTGTTGAAAACCATCCTTCCTGTCGAAGGAATAGAGATGGCCATAAGGTGCTTCCCAATGGTCAGAGTTGGAGACCTCAGTTGTTGCTGTTATGTTTCTCCATAAAGATCTTATCTGAGGCTAGCTCCCTCTCAAAACCTCAAGAACCTATAGACCATCGGAAGCTCTTTGGTTTCCGTGTCCGCTCACCTCCTCTTCCATATTTGTTATCTTGGTTATTGCAGTCTCGGTCTCACCCAAAACTCTCGACTGATCATGGTGGTGACAATGGTGACTCTGATATTGACATGGCAGATTTGTCTGATTCTGATCAAGAAGAAGATGAAGATGAATATGACCAACTTCCACCTTTCAGGCCTCTTAACAAAGCTCAACTTGCTAAGCTTAGTAAGGAACAAAGGAAGGCATATCTTGAAGAGTATGACTATCGTGTAAAGCTCCTGCAGAAAAAGCAATGGAGAGAGGAGATAAGGAGAATGAGAGAGATGAAGAAAAAAGGAAAGCCTGTGGCAGGTGAATATGGTGATATGGGGGAAGCTGCTGATCAAGAAGATGGAGGTCCAGCCTCTGTGCCAGTTCCATTGCCTGATATGATCCTTCCTCCTTCCTTTGATGCCGATAATCCAGCTTATAGGTACCGGTTCTTGGAGCCAACTTCCCAGTTCCTGGCGAGGCCTGTTTTGGACACTCATGGTTGGGACCATGATTGTGGATATGATGGTGTTAACCTTGAACATAGTCTGGCAATTTTGAACCGGTTACCAGCAGCAATTGCTCTTCAACTCACAAAGGACAAGAAAGAGTTTAATATCCATTTGGACTCTTCAGTTTCTGCCAAGCATGGAGAGAATGGATCAACCATGGCAGGTTTTGACATCCAAAATGTGGGGAAGCAATTGGCTTACATCCTGAGAGGGGAGACAAAATTCAAGAATTTCAGAAAGAACAAAACAGCAGCTGGGTTTTCTGTTACATTCTTGGGTGAGAATGTTGCGACTGGATTGAAACTAGAGGATCAGATTGCAGTAGGAAAGCGCTTTCTGTTGGTGGGCAGCACTGGAACTGTTAGATCCCAGGGTGATTCAGCATATGGAGCCAATCTGGAAGTGCGGCTCAGGGATGCAGATTTTCCAATTGGCCAGGACCAATCCTCGTTGGGCTTGTCTCTAGTAAAATGGAGAGGGGACTTGGCACTTGGTGCAAACCTTCAATCTCAGTTCTCCATTGGACGGGGTTCAAAGGTGGCTATTCGAGCAGGACTGAATAACAAGATGAGTGGACAGATCACAGTTCGAACAAGTAGCTCAGACCAGCTTCAAATTGCTCTTGTGGCTCTACTTCCCATTGCAAAGGCAATTTACAAAAGCATCCGACCTGGAGTTAGTGACAACTATTCTATGTACTAGTTCCCTTCAGCTCTCTGTCTCTCTCTAGGTAGGCTGCCAGTGGTATGCATTTTAAGTTTTGCATTTGCTTGAATAATTCTTAAATTTATGTCATGTAATAGAACTGCTGCTTCTGTTGAGATTATTCATGCTTATTGACTTATTGCCCGATGAGATGTGTTAAAGTATCCATTTTGCAATTTTGGTTGATGTTATTGTTATGCTGCAATATATCAGTGTTTTGGCCATTTGTTTGAGTTAAATCCTCGCTTTTTTGTTATGAGCTATTTTATTTTGCCTGCCATGTTAAAAGTCATTTTTAGCTGAGCATATGTCTCTACAATGGGTAATGTAATAGTTTACCTTTCATCATTATTTTGTATACATAGTTCATTTATGCCATGAAGAAAAAAAAATATTTGATGCAGGCCCTGGATTTATTCCCCTTCGTCTTGGAAGTCCATGACTCCAAGGGATGTGCCTGTTTATGGCTGTATTCATCGTTCTGGGGAGTTTGTGTTGGTTTTTCCAGGAGCATATCATTCTGCTGGGTTTAATTCAATTGTGTTGGAGCAGTAAATTTTGCTCCTCTCGATTGATTACCTTATTGTCAGAACGCTATGACCTCTCTCATAAAGTTTTGAATTTGTGTAGATTGATTACCATTTGAATTTCCACAAATTTAATTTTGTATTTCCACAAATTTAATTTTGTATTTCCACAAATTTAATTTTGTATTTCCACAAATTTAATTTTGTATTTGGGTTGATAAAAAAAGAAAAAAAAAAAGTGGGAGCTACAACATTATTTGGCTTTCCAATTACTTGGCTCTTGCGTCGCAGCTTTGGCTGCATTGGTTTAAGTGTACTAAACTCTTGGTAAATATTAAAGTTTTAACGGTTACACTAGCAATCTTCTTATCCTCTTTTTCCTCAGTTGCCCTTGTTCAAAAATAAATAAATAAATAAAAATTACTTGGCTCTTGGTTGACGCATTGGGACTATTGTTCCTTAGAGATTATTTCTAGTCTCTTTTCAGAAAAAAAAAAAAAAAACCTTTTTCTTCTATTTCATGACAATGTTAATTAATAAAGTTTATTTCGCTAGAGCTTGTTTGGTCTAACTGTTCTGTTGAAATCTTTAAATTGATTAGATTTTTTCGCATAAGATTGAATAATGAGTCCATATAAAATAATTATAAAAATTTTAAAGATGTATAAAATTACAATTTATAAAATACAGATATTCGGTAAAATATCAACTCTAGAGGCAACAAGTTTGAAGATTCATCTTCTACCTCTTTAAAAATTGAAAACAACTTTTAGAAAAACAAAACTGGTGACCTATTTTGAGAATATTGTGGTGGTTGGCTCGTATTCAACTTTTGTTTAAGGAAAAATTCTTTTAATAATTAGTAACACATGCACTAATTCCATAAAAAGGAGATTATGATTATCTTTGAAATTATCTATATTATTGGTAGATTTTTATTTTGATTTCCATCAAAGTAATAGGTGTAAGGTAGTGCTTCGTTTGTGAATGCTGCATTAGAGTTGTGGCTAAATGTTTTTTGGTCTTTTAATAACTTAAGTGTAATTTTAAATAGTAAAAATATTTAAAAAAAAACTGGCAGTTTATTGCATTACATTTAGCACTATGTGGTTTAGTGATCATAACTTACGTGAAACGTGTTATGACATGCAAGTCTTGAGTTTTACACCCAGGCACTACTTCGCCTTCCCCTACAATTCCCCTTAGTTCAAAAAAAAAAAGGTGTAATTTTAAATAGTAAAAATATTAAAAAAAAAAAAACAAAAAAAACTGACAGTTATTGCATTACATAGATATTCCAAACGAAACTTAAGTCTCTTTCTTTTGAAAATAATTATAAAAATTTATATAACAATAATTATAAAATAATTATAAAAATTTTAAAAATGTATAAAATTGCAATTTATAAAATACAGATATTCGGTAAAATATCAACTCTAGAGGCAACAAGTTTGAAGATTCATCTTCTACCTCTTTAAAAATTGAAAACAACTTTTAGAAAAACAAAACTGGTGACCTATTTTGAGAATATTGTGGTGGTTGGCTCGTATTCAACTTTTGTTTAAGGAAAAATTCTTTTAATAATTAGTAACACATGCACTAATTCCATAAAAAGGAGATTATGATTATCTTTGAAATTATCTATATTATTGGTAGATTTTTATTTTGATTTCCATCAAAGTAATAGGTGTAAGGTAGTGCTTCGTTTGTGAATGCTGCATTAGAGTTGTGGCTAAATGTTTTTTGGTCTTTTAATAACTTAAGTGTAATTTTAAATAGTAAAAATATTTAAAAAAAAACTGGCAGTTTATTGCATTACATTTAGCACTATGTGGTTTAGTGATCATAACTTACGTGAAACGTGTTATGACATGCAAGTCTTGAGTTTTACACCCAGGCACTACTTCGCCTTCCCCTACAATTCCCCTTAGTTCAAAAAAAAAAAGGTGTAATTTTAAATAGTAAAAATATTAAAAAAAAAAAAACAAAAAAAACTGACAGTTATTGCATTACATAGATATTCCAAACGAAACTTAAGTCTCTTTCTTTTGAAAATAATTATAAAAATTTATATAACAATAATTATAAAATAATTATAAAAATTTTAAAAATGTATAAGTAACACATGCACTAATTCTATTAAAAGGAGATTATCTTTGAAATTATCTATATTATTGGTAGATTTTTATTTTGATTTCCATCAAAGTAATAGGTGTAGGGTAGTCCTCCGTTTGTGAACGCTGCATTAGAGTTGTGGCTATATGTTTTTTGGTCTTTTAATAACTTAAGTGTAATTTTAAATAGTAAAAAGATAAAAAAAAAAAAAACAAAAAAAACTTACAGTTATTGCATTACATAGATATTCCAAACGAAACTTAAGTCTCTTTCCTTTGAAGCAGCAACTATGAGACAATATCTTTCTACGAGGGCAAGATGAAATATTGATTAAAAAATAAACTAAAATAATATAAAATTAAATAAGAATTTAAGGATAAAAATAATAAAATTAAAATTTAATGAACCTAATTAATAAATTCTTAAACGTTTAGATCAGGGCCTTTACATTTGGAATAAGATAGCCACTAGTAGCAGTAGAAACATTCCAAATTTTCAAGGTCTTGGAAGTTCAGCATCAATTCAACACCCATCTTCCAACCCACCAAGTCATGTCTTTATAACATTGGTCCCTGTTGTACGTGGGACTTAGCCAGCCAAAAAACGGCCCATCTCCAAGCCCAACAATTTCAGCAGCAGCAACAACTAAACATGGGTTTTAAGGGGAGACATTCCGGGCCTAACACTTGAGATTAGGGGTGGGCAAAAACCGGTTTTGGATTTAAAAGTAACCAAAATTTTTTTCCTCTTTAAGGGCCAAAACCTAAACCATACTTACCTTTTTTTTTTTTTTTTTGGGTTCAATTACCATAATAATCGGTTGTTTCATACTTGGTTTTGGTTTTTACTAGCAAACATTAAACTTTTTTTTTTAAAGCAATGGATTACATTTCATGCCATAGTTAATAGAAGATTTAGAACCTCTATCAGCAACCATTGACAAAAGTTGAAGGGAGAGAATAAGAATTTAGAGAAGAGAACTGAAAGGTAGGGATTGAGTTTTGGGTTTCACAACTAGAGAAGGATCAAGGAGAAATAGGGAAAAAAATTAAGGTTAGTAGTAGAAAGTGTACTACGCGGCAATAGTACCAATGATGCTACGAAGAGAAAAGGACATGAAAAAGAGAGTTTTAGAAGTAGGCTGAAGTTCAAAAGAGAAAAAGATGAACAGTATGGTAATATGATGTCTAAATCCTTTCATACTTATGAAAAAAAAAGTGGTTGAATAACATCATTGTGGAATGGTAGGGATGGTGGGAAATTAGATTTTTAGATCTGATTTTGGAAAGAGAAAAATTTTGGGTGGAAAGGGAATCTTAAAATGTTGAGGCACAGAGGTGACCAACTGACAGTGAAGTTTTAGAATTTTTTGCTATTTCATCTCCTTTTCAAAAAAAATTTTTTGGCACACAAAAATTTGGCCTCCAATTTGGTTTCTATGAGGTCTATTTCCAATTTTCACTTAGTGAAAAGCTCATTTGAAACTGATCTAAAATTTATTCAAGTAATACTAAACCCGAGCCTAAAAACTCAAATATCATTAGTATTGACCTAAATTCACTTTTTTGAGTCAGCTTCCTGTTGACCATTCGGTTAACCACCCAAATGTCCATCCCTACTTGAGATGAGGAAGGAAAGGGGAAAATGGGAACACACAATTAAAGAGCAAAGAGGAAAAGAAACAAAAATCTGGACAACCAAACAAAGCCTAATCTTTTTCACTCTAGAGAAGCCCAATCCCTAACATGATCCTTCTAGGCAACCAAACGAACTAGAAAATTCATGCCCTAATTTTCTTGAAATGTTGCAGAACCTTAGCCATACAACAGAGAAAAAAGAACCAACCAACCGTCATCTACAACAACACATAAAAGCACCAATACTCCCACAAAAGGAGAAATCACTGCTCTCACAAGGAGAGAACATACTGCTCCAACAAGGGAGCAATTTCTTTCGACGCCTTCTATTAGCAAGGAACCTTAGTTTGGTGGCTAGGGTTTTAAGATATCAGCCAAGAATTTTTTTAAAGATATTTCCTTTGTTACATTATAATTCATTTTTAATATTCTTAATTTAACTTTTTAAGTTTTTTAGACAAAAGTTTTAATTGAAAATTTAATATGTTATATAAATAATAATTGAAAATTTTTTTTCAATCAAATAAAAATACTTGACGAGAACTTCATATAGAAAAAAATAATTTTCAATTATTGTTCATATAAATTAAATTTTCATTTGAAATTTAAAGATAAAGAGTCAAAAAGTCAAATTAGGACTAGTAAAAATAAACAGAAGCAGTAGTTGTGTGTTTTTTTTTGTTTTGTCAAAATTATTGATTTGAGACAATTTATGTTGTTACCTATATTACCATTAAAAAAAATTAATGATTAAAGTTAAGAGATAATGATAGGGTTATAAAAGGGAAAAAATTAATTGTCTTTCTTAAAATATGAAAAAATATCAATTAATAATTTCAAATAAAAAACAAAATATGAAAAATTGACCATGAATCGAAAATAAATTCTGAATTAAAGGGCATGTTTGGTGGGCACCATTCCCAGAAAAAATATTTCTAGGGAGTCTGAGCTAACAAGCAAATGACTTAGCTTAGGAAGTTAAGGGCCTGATTGGTTACTATGGATCTTGTAAAAAGAATTTAGGGTAGTTGACAAAAAATTCATACAACTTGGCTTAGAAAACTAAAATTTTTAACACACAAATTGATACATAATATAATTGATTATAAAAGAAAGGTAATGGATTATATTGCCACTTTCTTTCGAAAGTTTGGTTCGGGTTATTTTTTTTTTTTTATTTTTTTTATTTTTAAGAAAGTAGTGTAATTGATTATAAAGAAGAAATAATTAATTATATTTGTATAACCACATACTTCTGCTTTGTAAAAAATTATATTGCAGATATAATTTATTATCTTTATTTTACGATCAATTATATTGTGTCTTAATTTATGTGCAAGAAAATTTAATTTTCTAAGCCAAGCTGTATCAATTTTTGCTTAACTACCTT